ATTACTAATAACAACATTATCATCGCTCTCGCTGGCATCAATATTAGGATTCGCATAAATTTTCACGAGAGTTGCAGATATTTCAAGAGGTTTCCATCACAAAGTTTAGTTTCATTGCTCGCGAAGTATAGACGTGATTTGAAAAATGAACAAAATAAACGACTTTGAGAAAGCATCCAACAAAAATAAAAAGTGCCAATAAAATGCAAAAGAAGCTACAAATGCGATGAACACTTATATTCAGCGATGTTTAAATTACATTCAAACTTTTCGTGTTGAATGTCTGCCGGCTTGCAATAGAATGCAGACATTGAAAACTGATTGAGCGAAAATGATAAGTCATAAATAATTAATCAGATCAGCTTTGATTTTTCATTCAAGAGAAAAAGGCAGCAATTTCCGACTCATTTTTAATCTTAAACTTTGAACAGATCTTTCGATTATGCTAAATTATATTAGCTTGTGATAAGAAATGAAAGATAAGACTGGGAAGATAAGGGATGAAGGGAACATGTAACCCACTAATAACAGGAAGTACAGACTTGGTTTGAATATATTTGTAGCTTAAATTTGTTCGAGTCAGGCTGGTCTAAGTTGGAAGGCTTTGCTAGTCGTTCTTCTGCAACATTTGTCTCACCTAATGGCTTCAGATATCCACACACTTATGGGACTGTATAGTCCACTTTATTTTACTATATATAATTATCTTGAAGTCATCCCCAAAGCGCAAAAAAGCAAACTCAATAGACAGCTGTGTTTTCGAATTTAATTTTCACTTAAACAAAATCTTTATTGCTTTCCAGCAAATTAGCATTGACACAGCCTGGATTAGCTTGTGACCTCTCTTAGATCATACATCCTTCAAGCATTTTTCTCACTTTTTTGCACCTGTTTGTTACAGAACCCTTTACTACTTGAAGAAGAAGCCAGCTTGATCAAGAGATTGTAAAGTTCAGCAATTGCGTGATGCACATTTGCTTCTATAATAAAATGAAAAACAGTAAGTTGGCATTGAAATGTTTGTGGAAGAAAAATTTATCAACAAGACAAAAACTACAAATAGATATACAAAACAATCAGCACTCTGATCTACTTCAAAATGCAAGTTTGAATCCACGCTCGAGCTCTTACTCTTTTTAAAAGATTTGCGTTCATGAAAAATATACGTATTTACATGATGAATTTAGCGAAATAAACAAGACTTGAAACTGAAATTGTCTGACATAAATTATAACAAATTTAATGAGTCTAATAGCAATCAGGAAATTCAATAAAATGTCTAGCTGATTGTCAACAAATCACGTAAAACTATTATCACAGCTCAATTATCACTCATCAGCTGTCATGAGTAAAAGCTACATAAGACGCTGGAAATCGACCAACTTTGTTGTTCCGTGCTATTATTTCTCCGTTTGACGTCATTTGACTATTGCAAGTACTGTTGCCATTGCTAATATTTTTACTAATATTATTACTTGAATTATTGGAAATAATCTGACCGATCAGCCAATCATTTCCAATTTTACCTTCCACCAAGACACAGTCTCCAGCGTGGACTTCTAGTTCATCTTCTAAAGTTGCCGAGAAATCATAAAGGACACGGTAGATCTGCTTACTTGTTGTTTCACCACTAATTCCTGATGGCAGACTAATTTGCATATTTTGAGATTCAGCATATGATAATAAACGTGGTACCACGTATTGTTCCAATGGTTCACGCAGTTCACTCGTAGTCTAAAATGTATTTAGATATATATTAAGAAAAATATAAAATTATGTTTCAATATTTTGTGAAGATTTTCCAGCAACTTTATTAGAATTCATTTTTGCGTATGCTTTTTCTAAGGTTCAAAGTGCGTAAAATAGTTCAGAAATTTGCATTTTTAAGGAAGGCATAATGCAAAATACTTGTGAATTTGTATCTGCTGAACCTTAATATTTATACTTTTATAATGTCTATGTTTATTTTGCAAGTTAAGTGAAATTGTTCAGTGCACTAATTTACCGCTTCAGTTTCATCTCCCACACTTGACGTTGTAGGGAAACTTGGAGCAGATGGCTTTTCCGCGTGTTCAAATTCATCTAACGGTATCGTAAGCACTGTTTGGACTAAGCCCTAAACAGCAATAAATACTTTATAAATGTTAGAATAATTGTCTAATTCATTGCTTACTTCAGCACAAAAGTAGCAAAAATCATTCTGGAGTAGTTCACGCTTAATTTTTGAACAAAATTGAAAATCAGATTGACTTGCCATTTTATCTTTAAGTTTTTGTTGAAAACGCGCTAATCGATGATATTTTCTGTTTTGCGCTCCGTCTATACTTTTCAGTGCCTCATTTATCTTGAAAATAAGATATTCCAGAAACTCCACGTAGCTCTTAAAACGCTTTCTAATGAACTCGATGATGCACAAACGTGATGATTTTTTTGAAATTATAATGAAATTTGTGGTTTCAAAAGTATTAACAAATAAATTTTAATCCCAATAAAGTTCACAATTTATACGTACCTCAGTTATTTAATATATTCATAGAATATAATGTATAATCAAGGTGTTTTCCATATTAAAAAAAAGTAAATTTTGACTTTTGGATAGCATTAATCTTAATTAATATCTGCAATTTTAATCCTTGGCTATTTTGATTAATATAAATGAAAACATACAAAATTTGCAAAATTAGTAGAAGGTGAAGTTGGAATTACTTCCACTTGAGCACGCTGTAAATATTCCTCAATAATCGCCGCTACACGTTCTAACGTCCAACGGCGTCGTTGTCCAGCGATCACTTCTGCGAAATTTTCTGCCTAAAAATCATAATAATTCGAAATCTATTTTTTAAAAATATGACTATTATTTTTTAATTTTATTTTTTTTAATTTCTAGCAATTGCATTCTTTAGAAGTTCAGTTCAGGCGAAATTTCTACAGAAACTGGAATATAAACTAACATGAAAGTCACATAAATAAACAGTGTGTTTTGTAGAAAAACTGGGTATTAGCAGCAGAATTTGCTCATCCAATTCTGCATTTACAGCATCATTCAAAGCATTCATGCAGCGCTCGAACATCTAGAATATTAGTTCAGATATTGGACTACTTTAGATCGATCTGATCACAATCCGATGGTAAACGTAGAGCATGCTTTCCTACTTTAAAACTACCGAAAAGTTAAAAAAAAGAAAAACAAAAATATTCTACAATCTTTTAAACATTGCTCAAAAATATATGCAAACAAAAGTTATTGCATCCAAAAATTGAGAAAGTAATTTAAGGGAAAATTTACAGATTTTGATGGCTTCTGTTTCGGCGGAAATTTGTGGACGTTAAGAACTGAATTTTTTAATAATGAAATGAAAAGAAAATCAACTCAGTTTTATACTGAAAATTACACCAGTCAATATTTATTTTTCCAAAGCTTAAAATTGATGAGCTAAAAAATTGAAACAAATTAATTCCTAATCACCACATTCAAATTTGGCCCTAGTTGAGCGATTTTCATTTGAAATCGTCCAAGAGCTGTTTGACAGTGAGCAAGACGTTGTTTTTCGACAAGCTCCAGGTATTCGACCCCTTTACGTAGTACGCCATCGGTGACACGTCGTTGGCGTTCAGCTGCTATTGTTTCTTCTATATATGCTTGTTCTTGCTTCATTACTTGTTCTAATAATTTGCGCTTTTTCACTGATAACTAAAAAATAATCATAGAATTATTTTCAAATGCTAAGTAGAAATCTAAATATTAAATGTTCAAATTGAAAAGAATTGAACGACAAATAAAAAGTGAGATTATCAAAACAGCGAGAAAATAATGATTTTGGATATATTAGCATTGACAGCGATGCTAGCAACAGTGTTTGTATAGGCAACAAATGAATAGCCTTCAGTAGAAATTAAGCAATTGGAATAGTGACAAATAACAATTTATAATATGAAAAATATTAATATTAGTAATAAAAAGAATAGATGGACGAATATGAAATTGAAAACCTTAATATTTGAAGTTCGATCATTATCGACGAGTTGCTCAATTTTTTCAAGGTCACGACTGGAACTGTGCAACAAGCGCTTGATTCTTGTCAGTTCATCACGTTTTGCATTTAAAAATCGTAATTCGCGATTGGCTAATTGTTCAGTCTGAAGTAAAATTTAACATTTTCATAAATACGAAATACCAATAATGTCGAGTGGCTAAGTTTTGTATTGTATTTTTATTATTCTTTATATTACGTACAGAATTAATTACTTAAAAAAATTAATTCATTTTATATTCATTCATCTGTTTATTTATTATAATTCCAATGATGCATTTTTAAACAAATTCTTAATCACAAAATTTTATAACCTACAGCACGAATTGTTTTTTGTTGTGAGCTGAAGATGGCACGAAGTGGTTGAACAATGTCATCTGTGATGGCTGACCCCAGATTGCTGTCATAATTACAAATTATTATCGCTCATTCATTAAATTGGTCATTTTTAGGTATATAAAAATAAGAATTTTCCTGAATATTCACAGAACTAAAAGGGCAGAAGATTCTCAAATATATACTCCAAACTTTGTCTCAAGTTTAGAAGACTTATTTTCTGCAATCTCTCTTGCAAAATATTGCAAACAGAATGTGGAAATAATACAAATTAAAAACTACCAAATCTGATTCCAATATTTAATACAATGCAAGAAAATTTTTATCGCATGTTTACAATTCATCATTATTACTATCAATCATTTTCTAACGATTCGTTTGTAACTAAAACAACTTTTGTGGTCAATTTATAACTGGAAAAATCAATTTTTACTTGTGTATACTTGCTTGCGCATCAAACTGATCAGCAACGTAACTCCACGATCGGTCAACAATTCTTTAACAAAGTTATGCACTGTTTATATTTGATCAATCCAAATGTATGATTAAAAATTAAAGTTTAGTGAGTGATCAGAGAAATAATTGTAAACATAAGTTCATCTGCAATGTTTATGTCCTCAATTTACTGCATAAATTAATTCATCAATTCGTTAAAATCGCTTGCAATTGTCATCTAAATATTTTCAATTCATTATAGGTTTTCCGTTTTGCATTCATTCGAGCATTGCTAATACTTTAGTGTGCTAATTAAATTCAACATTAGATCTGACTGCGAATGAAGTAAAATTTGACTGAATTCAAAAGTTTCTTATCACTGCAAGCAATACTTATTTTCTCAGTTCGTGCCTTAATGCATACTGTTCGAGTTGAGTTATCACTTTGTCTAAATGATGAATAATTATGCGCAAAGTTACGTCAATTTTCACGAATAATTTTGACTGAAAAATTCGGAGAGTACGAATGCTTCTATTTTAGTAATTTTCAGTGACTAATTACATAATTGTAAAAATACTAATGATTAGTTAATATATTTTCAAGTTATAAAGTTTTATTTTAAACCCCACAAATGTATGAATTTTTCAGGTTTCTTACATCAAGAAGCTCTTAGTAAATAATTAATTCTCATAGTAATCAATTTACTTCTTCTAAACGTATTAAGGTTGTTGCTGCTTCCAGCAAAAATACAAATTTAATAAGTGAAATACAAACTTAATTACAACTTCTAAAATTCACCCAGTTGTATTTGTTGAAATTTTATGCAATCTTGAAGATAACTTTTGCATAGTTTTTGCATATGCAAAATCCAATGCTGCTCTGAAATGTTTAAAAATTTCAATAAATGATTCAAAGTTATTTTCTGATTCGCTTTTACTGATGCCAAAAATTGAATTAAAATTTTTTTGCAAAATATTTCCGTGTTAAATTCTGAAAAAAGTCAAGCAAATACCTTTCATCAAAAATTGAAATAATTTCTCGAAGAGTTTCATTATTGTTGTGGACAAGTTGCCGCAAATGAGGAAATGCTGTTGGTGTCTGAAAAAAGCTTCCAAAATCCGTGAAAATACAATACTTCAATTTTTCTGACCATTTATTTCCGGCTACTTTTCGACAGTTATCGCTAATACTCATTTAATTATACTGAACAAGCCTTCATTTATGCTCAAGTAAGGATATAAGTAATAAAATAATGGTATTTTATTAATGTTTTTGTCAATACTTTAGACTAAGAAATAATATTCCAGACTGAGGTCATTTTCAAAGTGCAAAAAAGGTTAAAACATCACTAGCAACATGTTCTGAGTTATTTCTAAGAGTCAACAACTCATTTTTGATAAAAGATGAATTGCATAATTTATAGGTTATTTAGTGTGTTCTTTATGAAAATGCATTCACCGATTTTGATTTGAAGACATAGTAAGTTTTGAAAAGCTATGAAACTTTTAGCAGTAAATTTTAGTACTAAAATGTTAATATCGTTATTTAATTGGGAGTTTGCTTCAAAATTTTTTTAATTATATTTCAGTTTATAAATTACTCAATTCAAATCACTTTATTAGTGTTGAATTTTCAGTTAAAATTCCAAGTTTAAAATTGATTCTTTCTAGCAGTTTAAAAGTAATCCAAAAGTGACACAGTTAGAATGAAAATTACTCAAATTCAAACAAAATTGCGACATCAAACAGATTACAAACGCAATAATTTTTAGGCTTAAATATGATATACTTTGAACATTTATATTTTTTGAGACCAGTTCAAATATGTTTACAAATCATTCAAAAATGAATTTATTTACTGGGCAAAAGGCTCAAATATGAGCTTCCTTAATATTTTTAAATTTTTTTAGCTGGTTAAGTCAATTTTGAAAAAGCACTAAAATCTTTTCAGATATTTCAATTCCAATTCGATATTTGTTCTATTCAAAATTTCGAATTTCTTTTAAAAAAAAGCATATTTTTCACTCAATACATTCCTACCGCAAATAAATTTTGAATGTTATTTTAGTACAAATTTTCAAAAGCTCTTTTCACTTACTGTTAGAATACTGAAATTATCTATTCTTGCAAGTTGTCAGTTAAGTTGACAAGTAAATTCTTAGAATTTTTACTGCAAATCTAAGCGAAATTAAGAAAACTTTTCAGTGCTATCAAATATAAGTCATAACTTACCCTCCCGAACACGATTTAGAACTCATTTCACTTAAAATCAGTAACAAGAAATCTAAAATCGAATTGAAGGATTAAATTTTGCATGCGTTTGATTAGTTTTTACTCTTCGTTACAAACTTTCGAAAGTAATGGCGTTGATTTATTTCTACGAAATATTACAAAGTCAGCAATTTTCATAAAATCCTTTCATTTCATGTGAAGATTTTAGAAAAATCGAATAATAAGAAATTAATAACAAAATTTGTGCCATTCTAACAATTGACAAAAATTCATTACATCAATAAAGTTTTACTTAATGCATTTCAATGCAATGAATTTCGGCGTGGTTATTTCTACAGAAAAATTCACAATGAATGGTTAAATCGATATAACAACGAAATAATATTTCTAACAATCAATAAGATCAAAAAATTTAAGAAACCATAATAGTGATAAGCACATTTTTAAAATCAGTTTTACATTTTTTATCATCAGACAACTAGCTAAATTATTGCTAAAATTTTTGCTGAATTATTTATTTCACATATAATTTTTTTCATTTTATGACAATCAAAATTTTTACGCAACAATTAAATTGTATTTATTATACTCAATAAAACCGAAAATTGTTTGAAAAAACTTACAGAGAATTTGTCAAGTAACATTGATTGTTGATGCAAAGTAGGCAGATTAACGAGTGATAACTGTGATTTTGACAAGCTGTTAAAAAGTGAACCACGTGAAAGTGAACGTCGTAAACGTGACATTCGGCCATGCATAATGGTGATGACTGCTTATTTCTAAAAGTAGAAATATGTAGGACTGTTGTGAATATTTAGCATATTTAAAGCTTATATACATGTATCGTGAGAAAATTTTTAAAATTTATATATTTTCTATAGCAGCTTGTCAAAATCACGTAAATAAAGTAGAGTTAAGCAAACAAAAATAAAGCTTGTCAAAATCAGAAAACAGCCAAGTAATTAATGAATTTGAAAATAGTAAATATTGAAAAGAATTTAATTTTTTTAGGGGCATTTAAGTGAGCAGAATAGAATAAAAAGGAATAAAGTTAAATTAAATGAAGTAGAGTTAAGCAAACAAAAATAAACTCGAATAAAATTAAAGCAAAAGTACAAACAAAAATCAAATCAAAGTATGATCAATGCAATGAATCAATTGAACTCAAATACAGTAAAATAATCCAAGTGAGATCAAAATCGAGCTTTAACTGAAAATATAACAGATGAAATAACATTTTAGTATAATTAGGATCTGTCATTGGCGAGATGAACCTCAACGATCAGCGCAGAGCAGTGTCGAGAACTGAACTGAAATAAATTGAATTGAATTGATTTCAACTTTTCTCGTTTAAAATCTCTCAACTACTAACCTAAAAATGAAATTCAATATCGATTGGCCCTTCAATCGATTAATTTATGCAAATTGCTGATCGACACAAAATTTGCACGTTCTTTTTGTCCATTACTATCTCTTATCGATGAACAAACAATCACTCATTTTACACCTTTCAATTTTCTTTTAAACTCAAAATGATCATGCTGAGTGACTAAAAAAAAATAAAGTTTGAATAATCCGAAATTTGAAACTAAATTAAAGACAGAATGAGTATTATTTTGGTTTGCTTTGGTCGTTTAAGCAAAAAATACTTAGTTATAAATTTGGCACTAAAAGATTTTCGAAGGCATTGAAATAATTACTGAAATTACTGAAATAATTTTGCGTTTATCATAATTACTGAATTTTCTATAACAGAACGCTTTCTGATTTTAGCTTTTAATGTTTTAAATTACTGCTTTGCTTATTTATTTTGTTGTATTTCGCACGATAATTATTTCCATTCTACTACTGCGTTACATATATTTTTTCTGATTCTTTATTATAATATGCCTGGCAATATTATGTTATTCGATTAATAATTTGAGCTTTAATTTTGATCATTATTCCGAAGAACAGATAAAATTTTACTTCCATACAGAATCAAAAAAAACCAAAAATCGAAATGATAGAAAGAGAACGATTTGTTTTGGTTTCTTAGAAAATCAGTTAGAGAAAATGAAAAAAGCTAAAATTAATGCATATAAAAAATATCTGATAATAAGTCCAGCAATAGCCATTATAGTGATAATGATATCAGTAGTAATGGGAAGAGTAGGTAATAATAACAACTATATTTTGATAGCAAAGCGTAATAGTGAGCATGTGATTAATATTTTACTAATACAATGATGCAAAATATATATTGATGAATAAAATCAGTCTATACAAGTACTTAATTAGATCTTGAAGAGTTTTAGAAGTGAACAGAAAACTTAAAATTTATCAATATTAAATTATTGAAATATAATTTTATTTTTGTAATTTTGTAATCTCTGAGAAGTTGAAAAGTTCAATTGAATGCATCATATTTGAAGCAGTAAATAATGTCAAAAATATCTTTTATCCATTTCTGATTTAGTTTATTTTACTTCACAATTTATTGTAATTATTGTATTGGATACGAATATTGGCTACCATTTTTATGATCTTTTCTAACTGTTCATTTCTACCATTTTATTTCTTTTTTGAACATACTATTCATCCCCGTACCTTTTATAAAACTACCAACATTGCATTATTTTCTACATTGTTTACTACTTCTAAACTGGTCTTGCTTAGATAAGTGTTTTGGATCAATGCTACCTGCGGATTAACAAAATTAAAATGAACAGTACTGTAATGATCGCTTTCTGATCAATCATTCATAAAAAGTTATTACTTTTGGATTACTCAATCTGTGAACAAATTTTTTAATAATTTTTTTAAATTAGAAAAAATCAATCAGTCCATAAATTTGAAAATAAATAAAGTCTATAAATAATTAATGAAAAGAGAATTATATATTTTGTTAATCAGAGAGAAGAATAAGCTGCAACACTTTCGAGCAAAGTTTTGCTATAAAAAAACTTCCTCAGAAGCTGATTATCAAATGGAAATATGCGAATTCAAAGCTGATGAAGTAAGAGAACAAGGACAGTGTAATATCAAGGGAACAATCCAAACTGTAAGATAGAATCTACTACTCTGCGACTGAAACCTTTCAATGAAATAGTGAAATTATGGGGACGAAATGCAAGGTCATTGGTAAACAAAAAAACGGAATAAATAAATGATTGGTGCGATTTTATGCAAGCCATACCAATCAAAGATTTAATCTGATTGATTGAAAAGTTTGTTTTAAGAATTTCTTTTTTGTAATAGTGAACTTTGTATTTTTGTACACAAAACAATTATTTTGCCTACAATAAGTTAATTTAAGTAATACCAAATTGTTCAGTATGATACTGGCAATTTAGTGTGGTCAAAATTTAACACTTTCAAACTTTCAAAAGAATGCAGAGTATTATATATGTGTTTAAGATTGAACAACTTAAAAAGTATATTCAAATGATTTTAAAAGATACAAAAAATAAAGCATTTACAATCATGACACAGACCATTTTATTGCTCATACAGATGGCACTTTGCAAATATTGAACAAAGATTCTTCCCAGTCAATATTTTATATTGTGGGTCATCACTATTGAGTAGTATTTTCTTCCAAAACTTTTCAACACAATTTGTTACATTGAATTTACTCGTCAAATTTTTTGATTAAAAATTTCTAATGATGCATCAGTTTTATTTCAATTCTGGTAGAAACAGAGTCATTCTTTACTGAATAATTAGTTATCAGTTGATAGACAGTTGCGTGTATTAAATTACAGAAATATAATGTTAACACTCATAAATAATAGCATTTAATAAAATGCATTAATTGCAAGCATTTAATAAAATTCAGTACAAATTTGAACTGAAACATTAAAAAATAGCTTTCAATTAAAATTAGACTTCAAGAATGCTAAAAGTAAGCGAATACAACTTAATAAAAACAACTTGTCAGTTTTTGCGTTGGATTCAATTGATTACACGATCACTTTTCAGAAAACACAATCTGTTGTAAACAAAAGGAACAGCGAAGAAGACCAATAAAGACTAGTTTTGGTGGAAAACCAGAAATTCAGACAAAGTTTAGGTTTGTTAAAATGAAATACGATCATTCAATCAAAATACGAAAAAAGAAAGCAAATTGAAAAGATAATCGGCGAGGAATGTCTTTCGTTCACTGAGAATAACAAATTTCAAAGAGTTAAACTTAAAATAATGCAAATTTTGCACTTTACTAATTTAGTGCAAAAACATCTTTCGAAGTTTGAAGATATTTTTGCACGTTCTTATTTATGATTGCAAATTTGGCAAAGTTTTGCACGGAAATGTGCATTGTACAAAACTGAATCAAATAGCAATGGCAAGTGCTAAATGCATGTGATTAAGAAGACAGACTTCCTTATCAGTTAGCAACGTTCTTATCAAAACAAAAATCTGAAACGAAGTCAATTTAATTAAAGGAATACTTTACTTTTTTTTCTTCTAGCAGTGATAACTTTTCTGTGCAAAAAAAGAAAAACAAAGGCTAAGCACGAAAATTGGAAATGAAAACGTGAACTATACTTCTTTATTCTTCTTCGCAAGCAGTATTTAATTTGATTTCTTTTCAATAGAATTTAACAAGCTAAATAAAAACACTTTTGTATTTGTTGCAAAAAGTGAAAGGCAGAAAATTACACTAAAAGAAAAGACACAAAAAAGGTCAACTATGAAAACAAAACTTTTTTACAGTGAAATTTAATCAATGAATTTTGAACAACACAAAATGACTTTCAGAAGCAATATTTTTTGCGCAAATAGTTTCAAATTTTTCACATCACAAGAACAATGCTAGTTTTGTGTGGTTCTAATTTGCAATAATTATACAGTGACACATTAGTTAAAAATGTGATCCAATTCTGCAATATATAATAATTATAAATTTCATATCTTGTTCGTAATTAATCAATTACTTGAATTAAATTGCTATTTGTATGCAAATTAAAATATGCAAATTGTATCGTTCGCCAAAATAGGATCTTGTCACACTGCCAAACGTCATTGCTATATCTATTCAAGAAAGCAACTGGTTTGCTGTTTACTTATTGAAATAAGTTTATATCTCAGGAAAACTTCGATATAATATGAGTGAACAAGGTGCTTGTTGGTTATTCATAACTGATTAGAAAACAAGCTGCGACATTCGCTTCAAATTATGCTTGGAATTGATATATTTCAAGATTTTGCTTTATTAAAATAGCTTTCATTTCTCTACAATTGAAAGATTCAGAAAAGTTGAAATTTTCTTCTGACAAATCAATTTGATCACTGATTGGAAATTGATAAAAAGTAATCTTAGAAAATTCGTCAATATATTTTCAATCAAAAATCATTTACTGGTCAATAATCACAATTTTAATCAATTAATACTTTAGTTACTGATCAAAATCAAAAGATAGACAATGAGTTGTGCAAACAAAAAAGGTAAAAGCAAGGAAAGTTAATTAGCAAAATAAGGAAAGAGTCGGTGAAGTAATCTTGTGGGATTAATTAAAAAAAATTGCTTTCGGGACTGACATAAAAACAGGTGGTGCACGGCGATTCTGGTTCAAGTTCGGCGACCGGTCAAGCAACTTGGAGAAAACAAGGATGAGTCCGGAATATATCGAATTAACTAGAAAATATGACACTTACAAGGAAAATAACGATGCGCTTATTGCAAGACTTGAGGCTTGCATACAGCAGAATGAGGATGTGATCGCGGATGGGAAAGTATGTTAAAGCTTTTCCTTGCTATTACTCAAGGAGTGCAGTTTCACATTTCAGTCATAAAAATTTCAAATATTTTGGCGGGGATAGGAATGTATAATTTTGCAAGATCTGTTTCATTAAGTTATTTTTGTTTTATATGCTTAATTAAGTCGTAAAATATTTCTGATCTATTTTTTAAGTTACTTTCGGACTTTTTTTGCCAAACTAATTATCGTCTCATATTTTATTTATGACTACTGTCAATAAAAATACATTTATTCTTTTGTGAAGTTCGCCGAGACTTTATAAATGTAAAAATTTGCAGATCGTTGATGCTCCAAACGAAAATCCATACGAAAAACTATCTAACTCTTTTTTTTTGCTGTATAATTTTCTTCCACCTGACAAGCATCCAAGCATTCAGGCTTTGATAACTACAACACAAAATTTGGCAAAGGTGCAGCGTGAAAATCAGGTCAATTTTGTAAATAATATGCAAATTTCACTTGCAATATTGTTTTTTAAAACTCAGTCTGATATTTGGTGCTTATATTTTGTAGCAATCATAACTTTTTTGATCACTTTCCGAGTAAAAGTTTTCAATACTGCCTTTCAAATCCAAATCCAAGTGTCAAAATTAAGCAAATTGAAAAAAACTTCTACTTTTTAAGGAATATTTTTTTTAGTTAAATGGACGTAAAGCAATTCGACATTTACGACGATTTTTTACAGTAGAATACAAAGAATTAATGGATGAAAGGATGAAATTAGACAAGTAATATACTCAGCTGCTTTTTCATCATTATTATATTAAAACGATGAAAAAATATCAATTTTCTAAATATTACTTAAAGATAAGATTTGCTCCTATTCTTGAAGAGATAAATGTAACTGGATTGCAGATCAGCGTAATTTATACTATTTGAGCGGATTTTTGAGATTATGATTGAGTTTCATATTCGCTGATATCCATGACAATCCTTGAGAATTAACCATCATAATTTTCAATTCATTTCATAAGCAAAAGAGAGGAAAAAGTTCAACTTGCTCAGCTCAAACTGATTACTGATAATTTCAATGTTGTTGATTCATTTAGCAATACCATTAATTATATTGCTCATAGGTTAGCTGATTTGCTTGGTCACTTCACAAAAAAGAGTGATTAAATGGAACGGTTGACTTTAGAGTACGTGAGCATATGGACAACATGAAGCATGAAGTTAAAACATCTAAAACTACAGAAAAAATCGAGAAGTATGCGATACTTTATGAGCAAGCGGTCGAAGAATTCGACGTTCAAGCTCGTCGTACTATTATACTACTGAATCAATTGCCAACAATAAAAGCTGTTCATTTGGTCAAGTTTTGACTGTAATACAAAAGCATTTGCAAGCAATTAAATTTCAACAGTAAAAATTTTGCTCTATTGAACTTTTGCAAACTTCACTTCATATTTTAATAGATTCTTCGGTAGGTACAAGTAAGATATGAACGAGCAATCGCCAGTTGTTGACGAAATATGAAGTAAATTAATGTCTCGAATCACTGCAAGTTTTTGAAGAATTTCAGAAAGCAATCAAATAAAGAAATTTGAAAACAAAATGCTCAGTAATAATTCTAAGATCTTTCAGAAGGATATTATCGAATTTTGGTCAATTCTTCGAGAATACCATCAAGAAAGCGTGCGTTCTATTGACTTAAAGTCACTGCAGTGAACTTTCACCAATTAGCAAACGCGAACGTCTCAAATTCTGTTGGAAATATGTGATTATAACAATACAAATATTACTTTCCGTCCGAACTATCTTTAAAAAAAGCACAAATATACTCAGTGCAGCGAGGTTGGAAACTTTAATAAGCTGAGAGCAACTTAAGTGATGAAACAGTTAGTCACTTCTCGGATTGTTTATTTACTTTCATTGCTACTTTTGTTTTTGCGAATTTTGTCTAAGAGAAATTGCGTTATCCCCTAAGCTGCTCTCAGCTTATTAAAGTTTCCAGCCTCGCTGCACTGAGTATCCTTCCTAGCAGTACCTAACAAATCATTTGATTCACTGTATAACTATTTCCTATAAAATAGTGATTGCAATAAAATTAATCCATACTGAAATCACTTTTGCTCATTAACTGCTTGCTTTGTCTGGTTACGGTGCTTTTTTCTAATTAAAATCATCAACTACTACCATATCCCTTGTGTCATTACTTTTAAAAATTATTCGTCTGCAATCATTTAATTTAAGAACTTCGAAGATTATTTACATTAACAATGATTGGCATTGCTATTAATACAAAAATTAAATTTTACATTAATCACTGCTTGAAATAATAAAAGTAACACAAAATAATAATAATTATTAGTTAATAATAATAATAACAGTGCAGAAGGCGTTTATACAGTAGTATGACTGAAGAACAGGCTGTGGGCCACATTGTAAAGACAGAAAAAATGAGAGATCTGTGGACGTGTAACTGCGAAATGTAAGATGATCACATTCGGCGCAACGAATCTCGAAGGATTCGTTCCAGATCATGAAATGCATGGTACTTTTCCATCTGAAGTCGAATTTGGTTATTAAGAAGTGCATCTGTTTATATGCATATCTATACAAAACAATAATACGGACTTGAACAATAATAATGGTTCTACAAAAAGACAACGTTTCCGAAAGATGTTCGAAACAAAGGTAGCGACTTCAGACCAATAATCTGTAAGTCAAATCTTTACAAATTGACAACAGAATGTGAGGCACAATTCATGGAATCTGGATTTAGATATAACCATGAGGAGACTACTAGCAGATAACTAATTAGGAACTGCTGCCCAGGTTCAAGGTTCGGGAAAGCAGGACTTGTTGAACCTGACGGTAAGCAGAGAGCTGGGAACTAGTTGTATACTCGTGATAAGATATTAGAAAAACGTTCAATCCACTTAATCACGAGTACTTGACTAAGTGTATTGAAAGGTGAACATGCCAATGTAGATCGGAAGGTTACTGAGAAAGATTACTTTTAGATGGTCAGTTGTACTGAAAATTAAATGTTCCCATTAATATTCCTAATTGTCCGTAAAGGACCAAAATAGAAAAAAATTAAGCCAAAAAAAATTGCTGTCGCAACCGAACCTCATTATATTGTGAAACACATTTTTTCCGGAACTCTGGCTTCAAATTGTCGTAGAACACGCAAAACTACATACTATTTCACATTTTACAAAAGTTGAAACATTTTCTTGAATATGCAAATTAACCACAAATATAACTAAAGTTGAAAGTAAAAGTAATCTTCTTACTTGTACTTACACATTCTTCTCGAAATTAAAGTAAATGTTTCAAATAATAAGCAATAAATTCCTTCTGTGGGACTTAATAATCACATAATTAAGATGATCAGTACAACGAAGACAAACTTACACCTTTGCAGAATGACAAATGTTTGAAGACTGAATTTAAAAAAATGAAGACACAAAGTATGTTCTATATTGCCGTGAGTAAAATCAAAGTTCACAGAGTCTTATCAACTGTGGTATTTCAACAATCATATCACTTGCTGTGGATGATCTTCCATTTTTGTCGAAGGATATATTGGCTGCCATACGTATAAGCTGACTTGCGGCGATACCCGCAGAAATCATTGGTTTTGAATCCTTCTTTCTAAAAAATGAGCAATAAATTTTAAGCAAACAATCGTTCTCGAACTGCGAAATGCTGCCTCGTTGATATAACATGTAAATATAACAATCGATTTTATGAACCCAGAAAATTAGGCAAATAATTACATTTAATATTAGAGATAAGGATAAATGGTAAATTGTGAAAAAAATTGAATTACTTGACAGCCCAGAATGAGAATACTGCTAAAGCACCATTAAGTAAATCTCCTTGTCCTCCACATCTCCTTGGAGCTCCAGTTGACTTTTCTTGATGAACTAAGAAGAAAGTTATAATCAAATAAGAGTAAATTTATTTGATATATAGAATTGATTCCAAAAGAAGTTCCTAAAAATTACTAATAATTGATCTAATATTAATCTTATCTTCGCAAAGTTTTTGGATGTAGAGCCAACAAATCAGTGATTCAATTGTATAATTTCGAAAATAGCAAAAGTGATAATATGAGCTCGTAGAACAAGTTTTTGCAAAAACTTATAGTAGTCTCTGCTAATAAAACTTGCATTCTTCTCCATTAGTGATAATATCTTCGGGTCCTTTTTGAAATATCACACAGCCAATATAACCAGCTAATTCTCGCGCAGCTTCACCAGACTGAATTTTTCCTTTTTCGATCTGGTTGGTTTTGAAAGCTGAATGATAAAGACGAACAAATTCTGAGTGGTTTGGTGTTAGTATCGCTTGTTCATAACCTCTGATGGCATTTATATTTTTAGCAAGGAAAAACAGACCATCCTGAAACTATCAACAATGATAGATTTGAAAGTGGCATAATTTACTCATAAATAAATGAGCCTCCACAACAATAAGAACAACTTGGACATACCGCGTCTATAATGATTGGTAAGTTTTTTTCCCTAGCTATTTCGATCACGAATTCAACGACTGATAATGTTTGCTCTTCTCTTCCAAGTCCTGGTCCAAGTATTAATGCATCAACACGATGCAGAGATGCCATAATTGTATCCCTGTCATATGATGGATGTACCATTAACTCCGGGCTATATCCTTTAATTACATTCGCTGCTTCAGCTGGACAAAAAACATGAACCATATCACACCCCTGCAAGGAAAATTTTGCTTCATCACACTCTTAAATACATTTTTCTTTCTGAAAAATCATGAAGCTGAGATTCAAATTTTACATTTATAAAAAAATTTAAAACAAAAATAAATACTGTCTCAAAAATGTAAAAATTAAACTTCTGCAGCGTCTGACTAAATCAATTACTTAAAGTCAAAATATTATTTGAATTTTATAGAGATCCAAGACTACATACTCTTTTTCGAAATCAAATATTTTAATTACTTTATCCATTCCAAAGTATATCGATCAAGGATATACGTGAAGATGGATGAAATAATAATCTACTGTTGAAAACAAAGATAAGCAAAAATTTTGGAGATTATTTAAAACAAAAATCACAGTAAAGCAACACCGTAAGTAACTGAAAAAGCCAAATTTAGACCAAACTTTCTGGAAGTGTTCGAAGAATTATGTAGTCGTTAATTTGCATAAAAGAAAGAGGGTATTATAGGTAATGATGAGAAATTCAACTCTGAGAAAAAATTATTTGATTTATTATTATACTTTTGAATGTTTATCCTAACTGAAAAAATATTTCAGAATTCTAGCACACAGTCACTCATAATTTGAACGAATACAGCAAACAGTCACCCTTTTAAAAAGTTTCCACCTTTACACTAGTACCTACCACTTTCAGAGCAGTAATAGCAGAAAAATATGGTGCTCCCGTGTAAACAGTTGAACCTCCGATCACACCAATGCGCCCACATTCACCTTTGCGCAGTAAATTATTCAGAGGTGGAAGAAGTTTTTGAATAGATGTTAAACATGCTAAAAAATATTAAAATTAATATTTTAGAAAATGAGGTTTCGGTCCTAAAACGTAAAATTTATCATAATAAAGTTGGGAACATAATGACACATTATTATGACAGAAATTGGTACCAATATAGCATAATATTATAACAAGAATAAGTACTAAAAAGACAAACATTGTATGAAAATTTTAGCAAAGAAGAAATTCACCAATTTCTATGTGGTCACTTCAAGCTTGAGAAATACTCATATTTTCTTGAATTGCAAGTGAAGTTAGGTTACTTTTACAAATAACCTTACATAGAAGATTTTAAACCTTTAATGATACACAAAATCAGAAATTACTATATAAAACTAAATAACAAAGTTGCGTACTAAAAACAGTACCAATTAAATGCTCCTGAATTTAGAAATAATACAGACTGAAATTGAAAATAAAATAAAATGCATAATTTTGCTATTTAATCTAGATTTTTATAGTCAAGCATGCAACTCTTCTAATTTTCCATGTAAAAAAAAAACCCAGAACAAACCTGCGATGCTCGTGGATCTAAAACTTGAAACGTGTGAAGGCAACAAAGGCATTCTGTAAAGTCGACTTAGAATTAGTCTCACGCAATAAATACTAAAGCTTTTCGACACATTATGAAAATAGCGAACTCAGAAATCTCTGAAACTAGAATCATAAAAAAATCTAATTAAATACTGTCGTCATTATAGCATGAAAGGCGTCCTACCCTTGGTGCAGAGGTAGTGGAATAATTTTAGCTAGATCAAACCATTTCTTGAAATCAGCTCAATCTACCTTTCATTATGCTAATCAGCCTTTTGGAATACAATCCCATGTTTAAAATGAGAACCAATGGACATATTCATTGAAGTCAGTGAAATTTACTGCAGACAATTTAAATAGTACTAAATATCCCGTCACGATATAAGCGCAACTACTAGACTACTAAATAAAGATCTCCAGTGCTTTGCGTGGTGCACTATCAGTTCGTTAAAATCCACTAAAGTGGGGACTAATTCTACAAATATTGTTTTTACAACTACTAATCTCCCCTTATTATAAAATTGAAAAATTCATCTGAAACTTTTGGTTTCAAATTAAACAATATTGTTCAATTCCATCAATATTTACATACGAACGTGAAGATATCATGATCTGTGAACAAAATATTTTATTGATCAACAATTTATATAAGACTTTTAAAGGATACACTTCAACCAAACTGATATAGTACATTCACTAACCGTGAAAATAGCCATCAATATTTGAGAGCGCAAATATTGGACTACTGCATACTGACATCGACATCGATTCCTATTTTGTATGATACACTACTTGCAAATGTACCCTTTCGTGCATGTACAAAATAGTACCATACTATAAGAATACAACAGCTAATAAATTTCTATCCAAAGCATTTTATGAGAAGTAAAATGAAAAAATATGCAACATTGTAGAAAGTTGTGTTATGATGAAGCTGTTTTCAGGTGACTGAGTGATATTCAATCAGAAAGTTGAAATTACGAGTAACTGCAGCTTACACGGCTTCTTATGGCAAGATTAATCAAGTTTAAAAGCTAAAAAATACAACTGAAGTGAAGAGAGCAACATGACAAAAGAGCATTAACAATAAGTAAAACAAAAGTAGCTGAAGAGACAATAAGATGCGTTTGGAATACAGAGTATCTATCACTCCAATTAAAGTTTGCTTCTTTCCTTTGCAACATCAATTATATTTCCACTTCCAAAGATATTCTTGAAAAAATTGTTACACATAAAACAAACAGAAATATCATGCGTAAATGAGAAAGAAAAGAAATAAGATACGACCAAAAATACTGATGTCCGTCAAGTATGATAATATGATGCATTGCTGTACTGTTTATGACTTCATTTTAAAACAGAGAACGGAAAAATAGTACATACCAATGGATCAAGTCCTTCCTTAATGGCTCTCAAGGTAGACAGACCACAATCACTAACACTTTCTGGATACCAATGCTTCCGCAGCTTGCCAATACCATGATGGTGAGATATACATCCACCACAGGCTATGATCTCATCTCGTGCAGCTTTCTGAAAAATAAGAAATATTATAACAGCAAATAAGTTCTGCGTTATTTAAAAACAAAGATTTTAAGCTACGCTTTTGATACACAGTTACTGAGGTATTTCTGTGACAGTGATAAAATCAATATAAGGGTACTGAAATCAGAAAACCATAACATGTAACTTTCACTGCTACAGAGTAATACTTCAAAACCAGACAAAAAGCAAGTTTCCTAACCTCAATGCGATCACATAACTGTATAGGATCAGATATGCCGCGATAATTAAATGCATAGTAGAAATATACGCAAGCACCGGAATCATAGATTTGGGTCACCCTAATATGTAGTGAAATAGGCTTAAAGTACGAAGATAATGAATTTTTTGGGACACTTTTTGCAAAGCATCTATACTAAAAAAACTTATCACATTACACAAATATGAATATATTTATTCAATGTCATTATTGCGGTAAAAAGTTATTGCAAAAAATTGTGTCTGTTGAAATTTTTAGAGGACTTTCTGCAATGTAAAAATGGTTAGATATGTCCTACTCGTGTTTTGAAAGATATATTACACACAGAGACGACAAATGAGTACAAAAAACTTTTTGAGTTCTTCAACATAATTCCAATCATAAAATGTAATAAATTTGTCGAGTCAATTTCCAAAAAAATCAAACAGAAAGTCAAGAATTTCAAGCATCACAAAAAGTATCGCAAGCTGACTGAAATCGACTGAATATTTCTAGGGAAGAAAAAAATTTTTAGAAAAAGGAATAGCTTCCTACCACAGTTTAGCAGAATTTCGTACCATATTCATAGAAATTGAACCTTTTGTTAACTAATGTACTAAATGATGGTTACCGGCATGTTGCAAGTAGCGGTAGAGTTAAACCATTTGCCTTTCCTTCACGTCTAATAACTTCTTTCACATTATTACACATAGGTATTACTTTATCCCACGGGATAGATGTCTCGAATGATTCACCAACAACTGAATAGTCTAAACCAAGATCCTAAATTAATATTAACAATTAAAAATTGCATAACGTCAAATTATATAGTGTTATCTTCAATGAGATTTTCATAAAAGTACTTTAAAAGTCATAAATGAAATTTCAAAATCAAGGAATCAAGTTTTCAGCTAGCTATTAAAACAGAAGCAAATGATTAAATAAATGCATATTATAGTGTAAAGTTTCTACTCTTTCCACGCATAGTAACAGGAATATTTTACCATCTCCAAAAACTTTAAACCCAAAAATTAACCACGAATAATGTCAGTCTTCTAGCAAAAAAGCTCGAAAGTTGCTAAAAACACAGGGTTCAAAAACACTAATGAAATCATTATTTAACTTACTCTAAGGTATGCAATAGCGAAAGTTAATCGATACCCATATTTTCCATTATCAGCCCCACCACTCATACCACCGTATTTTTGAGCAAGAATAGTGAGTTTTTCTTCTTGCCTTTTGACTTCATCGCTAGCTCCTTCATAAACACACGTTACTACCACCATTTCTTCGACCTAAATGAAGTAATAAACTTTTTGAAGTTCTTACTTAGATTTCATACCTAAGAAGTATTAAAAACAAAAACAGCTCAATGAATTATATAGTGGAATCAATTCTTTTTATGGCTTGGGATGGGATTGAAACGAGCTTTCACAATCCAAAAATTTTTTTGCTTTAAATATACATAATGCTGGAATCAAAAAATGGAAAAAATGAATATATATATATATATATATATA